CAAGAATAATTATGGCACTATATTTATTTACAAGTGTTTGTGTTGTTTGGAATACTATGTAACAAAAATGAAATCACTTTATTATTATAATATTTATGTTGAATGTTTAATCTAATGTAATCAATGTCTTGAAATTAAATCAATATTTTACATTTGTCTGTTTTTAATTATACAAACAATTTTCAAAACTAAAAAAGTATGTGGGTTTGTTCAAGGAAATGATATTTTACATATCCATCTATGCCAGCACCCTTCAAATGAGAGAACACATCATTGATGTTTGAAATATTATTGTGTTATGCATGGTTATAGATTTGTTTGTGTTATTTATATACAAAAATATCGCTATATGCTTATCAAAAATAGTGCAGAATGTAGAGTCAAATACAAACAAATCAAATACTATCGATAAAACTTTGTCAACTCGTCTTTTTTTCAAATAATACTACAGAATTTTTATCAGAACTGATATTCCAATCGTCTAGCAGATCTTTACAATTGCTATTACTTAATGAAGATCGCCTTTGATGCTAAGAAAAAAGATCAAAAACAACGATCGTTCGCTTTGGACTAGCCAGTGCTCATAGTATAGTCTGTTTGCCAAGATCCGTAATGGATGAAATCTAAAGAAGGCACACTAACACTTGCAGGAATGCCTATCAATTAAGAAACCTACAGATGCTGAAGATTTCAGTGATATCGGATGTATTTTTTATCATAGATCAACTGTTATCTTAGAAGCATCCATTAGTATATCATCTAGTTATTCAAACAGTTCCCTTGTCATATGACTCAAATCCTTTGAAAATAAATAATGATTCTTGATTTTTTTCAAAAATATCACGTTGGCGAAGTATGTCACTCACTAGAACTGAGCAAGTTCGGACTTTTTCGAGTACGAATATTTCCAGTACTTTTCTCAGCTCTGATTTGTAATGCTTCAAGATAATTTTTAGTTGTCACCTAAAAGAATAAAAAAAGGAGGAAATCAAAACAAACTTTATGAATGATAGGACAGTGATGCACATAGAACAAATGTTCAGAAGTACTTATTTTAAACGTTGAAGTCTGTGTTCAATAACTAAAATCTACAATTGAAGCCCTTTTAGGTACTAAATCGCCTACTGCTTTTCCAAAAACCAGTGTTTCATATTTGAAACTACCAAATATTGTGACTGTTGGCTTTGAAATTAGGTAAATCTAAAAATTTACTCTATTTCAATCAATGACATATGATTCATAACGTTTGTTGTCATTTTCTATTTTTATTCTCTTCAATGACAATTCAAAGTTATTTTGGAGCACTACACATATATTTTCTTACTTGACAATAGATTGAGTTTCATCAGTGAAGTCAACAACAATACTTCATCACACTATTTGTTAGTGTTATTCGTAGGAAAATTGAAGTGTTTGATAAAATTCTATCACTGAATCAAAATATCTGCCAATTTACATGAGTTAAAGCGGAGATATGCCAATTTTTATCGTAGTGTGATTTAGAACGCATTCTTTATATTAGATCATGTCAAGCCATTTGTGCAACATGATGTTTAGTCGAATTCGTTAACATCATCTGTAACAATCAATTCGCATATCGATCATTCACTTGTTGAAACATGACTTATTTCGATATCAAGTAGAATATGAAGAATAAGAAACTATACATTACTATTGTAGGTTGTTTCACTAAAAGTTACACTTTCATCAAACGAAATAAAACTCATAAAATAAATTTTGTTTCTACACTGAAGTCAAGCCGAAGATATCTGCTCTGTCATAGGTACTCACTTATATGTGCAAGATAAGAACACCCGATCGTGCATAAAAAAACGAAGAATATGAAGAACTAGATTAATTTTTGAAATATATAATTATATTTACAACATATATTTTTACAAGATTACTCTTCTACAGATATTATCAATGAACATCAGCAGAATTTTAAAAAGTCTATACCATCTTAGATATGGAAAATAGAGGAGAACTGTCCTTTACTTATGGTTCGAACACTTTTGATAGATACATAAGTTTAGTTAATAAATTCTAATATAGTACTGTGATTGGAAAATATCAATTTAGCACCTATTAATTAATATTTTCCTATTCAGAGAAATCTCGATACTCTAGTTACTTTCTTGCAGAATATATAGTTGCATTATATAATTATATGGCGTGATCTGTGTTGAACATATGAAATACAAGGTGTATCTACGTCTTTTTTCATTGTTTTTCTTTCATTTTCATCTACATCACTTTGTCTAAATTCAGTAGTAACAGGAATCACTTAACATTTATGAACCATCACAGTCGAAAATAATTCTAACTCAATCGTTTAGTTTAGTATGAAGCTGTCATGTTTACAATATTTTGTCAGTCAAATACTTCAATCTGAAAGCTTCACAACAGATTTAAACAAATAGTTCTGTCACTAACATGATACCAATAGTCATACTCATAGTGTGTGTTTTGCTTGTAAAACCAATCAAAATGAAAGTGCATATTCATTCAAAATTTTTAACATAGTTAGTTATCTTTATGTTGAAAAGAATTTGTGTAATTAATATAACCTAAAGACATGGATCATTAGATATATCTATAAATCAATTTTTCATTTTGTTTTAACAATGAAAAAATCATCTCTTTTTTTCTGTTCGCACTACAAATAAGAAGAGCAATTTATTATTTTAAGTACAAATTCAAAAAATTCTTATGATTTATTATATTTCTGTAGAAAGAATTATTTCATAGTTCAATAGTTATTGAATAGTTAAAACAAACATCCTTGATAAACAATATCTTCTAATCGATCTTCAACATATCTTCCGGATGGTAAAGGTTTATTATTTTTTTCTTGCAACAAACGCACATTTGGATCTTGATCAATAACAATTATCCAAGATCGAATTTGTTGTGGATTTTGTACACAAAATTCATCGGCATTATTAGGATGTTCAAAGTAAACAGTGTCACAACCCTTTGCTGAAGACCACTCAGAAGGCTTAGTGATTCGTTTTGTTTTACCTAAATCTACTTTTGCACATATATATGCTCCAAATTGATTGGCTTTGAATTCTGTATGATTGAGTGATGTTGCAAAATATATACCTGGTCCGATCCATCCGCTCTTCGAGGGTTGTAAACGTGTCTTAGCAATAGAGTAAGCAGCAGCATGACTTGTTTGATGAAATCCAACAACAATTTGATTATCCTGTGTCTGTTCAGGTGGATAGCGTGTGTTTCCTGAATGATAAATAATAACATGATACAGATTCCGTGACAAACATCTTTCTCCTTTGTCACATCGAGAGTTTTGCCAATGACTTGTTTGTTGATCATTTGTCATTGCAATGGGTAAGAAACGCAAGTGTTCTTTGATGTAGTGAGGTTTTTCTTCTAATGAACAGTCTGGTCGATAATGAAACCATAAGCGATGATGATGCAGATATTCGACAACTAATAGAATTACAGCAGGAACAAGTGAAAATGCAGCCAAGATCGAATAACCTAAACCAATTGGTCCATACCTATTTGCACATACACAAGCAAGTATGAATGCTATAAATCGCATCACTTCAAATACAACTAAAATAGTAAATCGAGTTATTAAAATAAGTTGAGGATGTTCTCGATAACATTCACAACGAAAACATGTCAATGTTGAGAGATTCCAAGCAAATGATTGAGAACAACATCCAACTTTTTCACGATCAGATTCAAATATAATTGGTCCAAGATAACGAAGAAAAATATAGATAAAATTTGCAATAAAAGTGATAAATGATGATCCTAACTCCAATAATAATATTACGACAGGGAAAGCTATTGAATCACTTTTAGCAGATGATAAATCTGTACATAGAACAATGAAACGTATAATAAATGCTATAGTGCAGATTGTATGGAGTATCACAAGATAATGATATCGTTCAAAATCGTTTTTTAACCACATCGAATTTTATTGAGAAATATTTAAAAAAATAAAATTTTGTTTAACTTGAAATAGATCAATATTCTAAAATATAAAAGTTCAAATGTTAAACAAATCTATGAAGTATTGAAGATAAAATATTAAATAACTCTATATTGAGTGATTATAAACATTTGAATGAAACAATAGAAAGGATATTTGTATGATCAAAACCTCGTTTTCATGGTAAAAAGAGCTTATGAGTGCAGCCTCTTTGAGGCTGAAATGTGAAACTCACATATCGTCTTTTGTTTCATTAAACTCATAACAAAATACACAATGATTAAATTCTCTAAAAGATGATAGTTCTTTTCTAATAATCATCGATTACCAGCAAATGCTATCTTTTTCATTTCAATACTTCAAACAGGAATTTTTTTGCTGGAGTTGCTATGGTCTGTATTGGAAGGGATGTGTGTAATGGGCTGTGTCTACAATGATGAGACCTGCGTTGATAAGTGTCTGTAATGGAGGGAGAAGGAGGGTTGTCGGTGGAGCCGCCAAAACGAAAACTTAAAAGTTACACTCACTATTTTTTTCGAAAATGTATGTTGTGAGCTCCACAAAAACAACAATTACATTCAACATCCTACCGCATTTACATCTGTACACGACATATACTTTTTCCATTTTGATTTTAAATTTTGCAGAGAATTTATACCAGAGAACAATAAAAAAGAACATCTGCTATGTAAACGCCACAGAATCGTATCGTTACAATAGCAACAGTGATGTTTCGCACTTGTTTTTTTCCAACAAAACACATTTCGCATTGCTTTTTTCCAATAAGAATATTTCGCTGAAGAACAACATTGACTGAGAAGTTTTTTTTCTTCTCTTATTACAAAGATCATAATATGGTAATAATGTCATTTCTGTCGAAAGTTGGTAAAAAAAAAGAAACCTAGAGGCTGACTTTTTTTTGCGCACTTTTTGATGACGAAACCACTCAAGAACACAAAAAACGTATCTTAAATAGAAGGAAACAACCAACACATTCTCTTCAAAAACAGAAACTATCGTTTGACGAATGGGTTGTGATTGTCGTAGTCCAATAAATTGTTATGATGACGAAACACGATACAAAACTATGTTTGTTTTTCATACAATTGATATGATATTTTTTATTATTCGATTAAGTCTTGTAAGTAATGATATTTCGAAAGGTACTTCGGATACAAAGAGTTTTCTTATACCAATTCTATTATTTGATTTAATTGCCTCAGTTCCAATAATAATATGTGATATTATTTATGTGGTAATGCGTCATTGTGTTCAACCATTAGTTCGTGGACACAGTTCTTCTCCATGTTTATGGAATTTTGGGACAATGACATGTATTCGAATCGATTGTCATCATGAACGACCACAAACTATTTTACTGATGCGTGTTATTTTTATCATTTGTTCCTTTATCTTAAGATTTATTTGTTTCGTTATCGGTGCTTCCTGTTCTGCTCGTTTCAAATCACAATGTACTGCCTATACTGTCATTGCTGCTTTTGCTCTAGTATCATCTATAATAGTTATTATTACTGAATTTGTCCATTTTTTTCGTTTATGGACTTACAATCCAACGGATACAAGAAATACAAGCAATACGAACTCAGTTTATAGTACTGATTCTAGGAGAAGAATAGAAAAAACTCATCGACATCATCTTGGTTTTATTCATTATTCATTATTAAATGATCAAAATGCCGACAAATTTCGAGATTCAAGATGTGAAAAAGGAAATGATTGTAAATCATACAGTCTTCATCATCATTTATTGTATCATACACTTGAATCGGAACATGATATTGCTTTAGAAACATTGTCAAATAACGAAAAAAGATCTTTCATTGCTTTTTATGAAACAACTAGACAAGAAGCATTAGATATTGCTCAAAATGGATTTCCATATGGAGATACTACTAATACAGGATATAAAGATTATTTGCATCTGAAACAAAGTATTTTTTTTACACGTTCATGTAAAAGAGAAGGTTCTTCGCCTACAGAAGCGATTATATGTGTTCGACTCAATTTAGGACGAACATTAGTAATAACTAGTGATACAAATCCGAATCTTAATGATTATTTTGGACTTGGCGATGGAAAATGTGACACAGTTTATGTAAGAAATACACGTCGGTTTTATCTTCGAATGCCAGGTCAAATTGAAAAATGGATTATTACAATTAATACTGGTGTTCCAGTTAATGACAATCTCGATGGAGATTTTTATGTAGGTTGTCCTTAAATAAACTATTCGTAGACCAATGTTAAATAGAAAATCATTTGCGTCATAATTATAAAATAAACTCTACATTATTGTTTTATCAATTAATGACTGCATCGTATATATATATATATGCATACATGATAATTTATTGTTTGATAAAACCTAGTGAAATTTTTCTGTGAAAAAAGGTTTTTTTCATATTTTGTTTTTTGAACTGCACTAAAATTTATTGTCATGTTTTCACTAAAATGTTTTTTCTTGATTTCATAACTCAAAATTGATATTTTTTATCAACTTATTTATATTTGACCAACGAAAAGAATAGTAACATGAATATTAATATATGCAAACATAGTTATGCATTTCTTTAAAAAACGAACGAAAAAAAAAAGAAAAGTAAACATTCTCGTTCATTTGTCTTCTGTTTTCAATAATGAAATTATGCAGCTTGATCAAGAAAAAAGAATTATTAATAACACTATTCTTCAGAAGTTTCCAACTTTGTGTAGTCATGATTTTTGAATTGAAATTATTATTCACATGAAATAATTTCTACAACAAGAAACATATTGACAAATATTACGTACGTAGTCAGTATATGAAGTTATACAAATACATTATCTATGAACTTTGATATAGAATAAAAAATTAAACCGATAGTTAATTGTGAAATAGTGATGTTAGTCATTATGATACGACAATTAAGTTGGAATTGACTCTTTTCCAACTCTTCATCGAAAAAACAATCGTCACTTTGTTTGATTTTGCCAACCTTGTTGAATGATAAAGTTGTCCATAAATATAAATTTTATAATACGTAGTTGAACATCAGTTAAGCTGATTTATTCTGATACATAAGAAAGTAAAAGTAAATAGCAGAGAAGAACCATTGAGTTCTCATTTTTCATTGTAAAGAAAAAGAGCGTAGACGTGAATGGAAAACTAAAGGACTTCTCTTCACTCTTACATCGTACATCCAAAGGTTCACTCGCCGTTGCTATTGTATTTTACTTGACAACTATGATGGTTGTTTGTTATGAATTCTTTAGCTTTTTGCACTCTTGCTGATGACAGAAACCAGCAAAAAAAAATCAATAAATTTTATATGGAATCAAAGAATGAATAGAATTCATACTTGTCAAGCCTTGGACACTTGATCGCTTAGTAGCATGTACAAAGAATCAGTGACATATAGACGACAATTCACAGTTGACATGAAAATTTAGTTGAGTTTGGAATGCATATTAATAGCATGAGTCACACGATAATTAATCTTTGTTTACTATTTGTATTCAACTTTTGTAATTTTAGCGATTCGAAATGATTGGTCGAGCTTCTATGATTTATTTTGAACTATTTTAAAATATTTACATATAGAAAATTTGCATTTTTAACCATTTTTATTTAGTGACTAATAGAATTTTATGAATTTTATTCATCTTCTTATAATTAATTGATTGATGTTCGTTGCTATGAAACATCCCATCAAAAAACACATTCTATGTTTGTTTGTTTTTAATTACATAATTTTATTTATGCGCATCTCTTACAAGACAATGAGCATTCCCAATTTTTAACTACAATCTTACGTTGATAAACTTTCTCACAATTAGAGGTGAGAAAGTTATTGTTATTTTTTTGTTATTAATAAAAATAACATTAACGGTTTTTTTCGAAAAAATCAATGAAATAAGTCTAAGTATAGTTTATACGAACGTCAAAGGATTACTTTATTCATATAGTATCTTTTCCTACCATTAGATATGAGAACTTGCCGTAAATATTATGAGAAATGCTAACATAACGTAATTTGTTATTGTTATTGCTATGTAACAATAACAATAACAAATTATGTTGTGTTACTGTTTCTCAAAATCTTTACGACAAGTTCTTATATCAAATGGTAGGAAAAGATACTGTATGAATAAAGTGATCCTTTGACGTTCGTACGAACTATGCTTAGATTTGTTTCATTGATTCTTTTTGAATCAAAAGGCTAATGTTATTGTTATTAATAACAATAACTTTCTCACCCCTACTCACAATAAGTCTATTGAATAGATAATCAACAATCCATTTATAGTCCAATTATTACTCAATCATTCGAAAAACAGATCGGTTGCTATTCTAATTACGATAAATCATTCAATTTCAAGTTTTGAACAACCAATTTGCTAGTACTAAACATTTAACCAATCATTCGATTCCTCATATCATGAGCACCGAAAAAAACTCTATTCTATAGAAACAAATAGCTCAAATACTCTCAATTTCATTTCAACCAATCGTTCAATGTTTCCATGTTCCGAGCACCGATATAGAAACTACACTATAAGAAAAATGATGAGTAAGATCTACTTTTACAAGAAAACAATAAATAGAATGACTAATGGCTTTTTATCAACAACATAACAGTGCGAAGATACTTTATATTGTTCGAGAAGTAATAGTAAATATAAATTTGATAAGAAACAAACAAGTTTTCTTGAATATGTGTTAGAAAAATTTTTAAACAAACAAAATGAACTAAGTGATTCCAATCTTAGCTAGATTCCAAACTCAACTGCAACAAAAAAGATCAAGATAGCATAAAGGAAAAATGTGTTATACGGATAGCAAACATTTTTCTATTTAATTTCCCAGTTTATAATAGAATATAATACAGTCGAATGTTTATAATAAATCAGAGAAGGAATGTACAGAAGTTGATAAATATGATCAATACACTGCTCGTGTTATGTTGTTTGAAAACTTCGAACATACAATAGAACAATATTCCTCTGAAAAAAATAATATATCAATGAAAAGTTTCTGTTATCATAAATTTAATAAGGTTTAATAAATCTACTTTAATAAGATGATGTTATTGGATTATGCATTGGAATCGGATTATTGAAGTTTAGAAGAAAAAAAATGACATGTCATTACAACGTTACAAGAAATTCTTCGATATTTAACAGCGCATGATAGTAATTTTCATGATTTGTCATCTTAGAAAACTTCCAGAATGATACATCACTAGCAGCTGAATTCAATTCTTGGTACTCGTCGACTCTGATGAATGTTAAATGCATGGACTTTGATTGTACTGTATAAATACAGTCGAATGAAATCGAGCTAAATGCAGTAAGTAATAGCAAGGTGAGAGTGATGCATCGTTTACGTGTGGTTTATTTCTCTCTATCTAATTTTTTAGTTTATTTTCGTATGTAATACGTCCCACGACGATCATGACACATTGGTGAAAATTGCTTGAGCAACGGGAGAAAACCGATTTTACCCATGACCAAGCAAGGCTAATTCCTTCTTACCCCTTAATGTATCAGTTTACATGACTCGTAATTGTCATATGGAAGGCATCCAGTTTCAACATTTACTCATCGATAATGACAACAACAAACAGTAGTATAAAAACTAGTGCTCTTTGCCTCTTTCTCTTCACTTCTAGTTTTCGATTTCGCTGATGTGAAAAAAAGAATGCATGGTTTTAGTCGTTTCTGAGCTGACTCTTTCTCTCGTTCACATTTTCATTTGCTAATATATATTCACTCTTATACTACGCGAGCAACTCTTACCGATTCATTGTCTATGAAATCTCTCTCTATCTAGTTATTAGAGTAGTCATCTTCATTTACTTTCTGTTGTTATAGATAATAAAGAAGATATCTTCGTAAGAGCAAATAAAAACATGTTTTGTTCGATACTGATCTATTTACTCCTTTTCGTTCGTATATTCCTCAATATTCAAGCCTATGACAACGATAAAGAATTTCTACTGAGAAGCTTGATTCGTCGAAGGCTTGCTCGCTCCACCTGTCCTGATTCAACACAATGTCTGTCACAATGGGGTTACTGTGGAACTGGATCGGCTTATTGCGGTGCTGGATGTCAAGCTGGTCCATGCACCGGAAGTGGCGCGACTACTACTCGTGC